ATCCCTGAAACAAATAATACATTATATGTTAATTTAAAAAATTAATTAATTAAAAAAATTCTAGTGCAAAAAAAAAGAATTTAAAGGACAGTTTCTTAAATGGAATGCATGTGTGCTTGTGTGTCTCATCTCGTGCATGAAGACCAACACATTAGGGGCGCCTGGGTGGCTCAGTACCAACACATTAGGGGCACCTTCGGCTCAGGTCATGATCCCAGCGTCCTGGGATTGAGCCCCGCATCAGGCTCCCTGCTCCGCAGGAAGCCTGCTTCTCCCCCTCCCGCTCCCCCGGCTTGTGTTTGCCTCGCTATGTCTCTCTGTGTCAAATAAATAAAATCTTAAAAAAAAAAAAAAAAAGACCAACACATTAAAATGAGTCTCAGGTAGTAAAAGCAAGATCTTACTGATATTTCATCTTAGATCTAACTCTTTCCAATGTTGTTTGGGTGTTATATTAAGAGTTTTCTCAAAAAAAAAAAAAAGAGTTTTCTCATGGTTTAGGCAAGTTGTAATTTTTTCCAAAATTATTACGGCCATACTCTATGGAGCAGTATTTTCAACCTTCTATTTGGCGAACAGTTAGTGTCACCCAGTCACATTTAGCCCTGACTATAGCTACTTCTTTTGCCAACCTATATAAAAAGGTGGAGGGGCCATTGGGTCCTGTACCTTTCAGGTTAGATGCTCTCATTTTCATAACAGAATCTTAAACTACCCTCATTCTAATGGATATACAAATCATATGAATTAATCAACATATCAAAGTTTCTGCCCTTAAATTCTGACCAGCAACAATGATTCTGACCCTTCTACTGTCTGAAAATCCTCAACAGCTTATAGTAAGAACTGCTGTTTGTGAGGACTGCCTTAAAGACATGTATGCAATACCTCTATCACTACAAATCAGAGATGCTAGATAGGTTTTTGCAGCCACTCATCCATCTTGCACCCACAACAAACATTGTTAATCTACGACAGAACTTTTTCCTTTTCAGTGTGGACTCAACCACAAAGCTTCCCAACAGTTATTCAGTCAATTGACAAGTTGAAACTTATTTGCCATCATGGGGAATAATGATCTAAATGTTGCCCTGAATAAAGCCATACCACCGACGGCCTGTGATCTCAAACGAACAGAAAAGTTTGGGTGGTTCATAGGATTGATTCAATACTTTGTGATCGTTGGCAACAGAATACATTGAGGGGATCTATAAAAGTCCTTTTGGCACTTGTCTCCTACTTAATTCCCAGTGTCATCAAGATGAGGAATCAGGATTTCCCTTGGGACTAAAAATCAAGAAAACCTGCTTCTCAAAAACAAAAACAACAAAAAACTAAACAAACGGATGGACCTGGAGGGCATTATGCTAAGTGAAATAAGTCAGACAAATAAAGACAAATAACATAAGATCTCACTTACATATGAAATCTAAAAAACAAAAACAAAAAACTGAACTCATACAGGTAACAGATTGTTGGTTGCCTAAGGCAGGGAATGGGGGAAGGGCAAAATCGGTGAAGATGGTCAAAAGGCACAAACTTCCAGTTATAAAATAAGTCATGGGATGTAATGTGCATAATGGTAACTATAATTAATAATACTGTATTGTGCATTTGAAATTTGCTAAGAGTAAATCTTAAAAAGTTCTCATCACAGGAAAAAAATTATAGCTATGTATGGTGTTGGATACTTACTGTGATCATTTCGCAATACAAATACTAAATCATTATGTTGTATACTTGAAATACAATGTTATGTCAATTATACCTCAATTAAAAAAAGAGACAAGCACTTACCAAGCCCTTTTCTACCTATTCCAACCCCCTTACCACACCTTAATTTTCTCATCAATTCTTGTCTCAGCCAAACCCAGGTTGGAAAACTTCAGGCTGTATGGTCCTTGAGGTTTGTCTTGTCACTGGAACTTAGTACTCCATAAATACAATTTAAATGAATGAATAACTGAAAGGCTAATGGTAAGTGCCCTTCCCCCAGAAGTGCCCGTTCAGAGATTTCTGGACAGGAAAAAAAAAGTGGTAACCCCTTCATTTTTTTCTTGTGGACGCAGAATTATAAATGGAAGAAGTAAACCTCTTTACTTTAATCCCAGAACAGGGGGTCTACAGAGGTCTAAGTGTTGTGTTGTCCGGACAGGCTCTAGACAGCAAGAGGGCACTAGGTGCTTAGAAAAAGTCTTCTGAAGAGGTCAGGAGGTAGAAGAATGTGCTTATTACTCCATGCATCTGCCTAGCATTTAACGTTGGCTGAAGGGCTCGTAAGAACACAGTTCCAGTCAGTGCCAAGTTATGTTTCCTATCCGGTTTCTGCTCGTGGAGTTGTGGTGTTTGGAGCTGGAAAGAAATATGGATAAAGTCTATTTTTAGACGAGTATCAGGGATCCAAAGGCTCCTTTCACTTTATAAATGCTACTGACGTCTAGCTCTTAGGCGTGGGCGGTTTTCTCCGGAAACACAAAGGGCCCGGCCCGCTCCCGAGCGGCTTCCCAGGACCGAGTTCCACCAGCAGAGGGAGAGCAGGACGCGTACACTGGTGAGAGCGGACCCAAAAGTGGGAGTCCTGAGAACCCAGGGAGTGGCCATGACGGAACGCCAGAAAATGCTCAAACGGGCATTAGCGTGGCCAATGTAGATCGTAGGGTCGTGCCGTGGGGCGCTGGGATTGGCCATGACGTAGGACCGTGGAAAGCAGGGGAGGAACGTGACCCGGCGGGAGGGGCGGGGCCTGGACACCGTGGGAAGGAGCGCCTGCGACGTTCTAGGCGGGAAGGGCGTGGCCCAGGCATCGCTCAGGGGCGTAACCTGGGAAAGTTGGACTTAGTGCGTGAAGAGCGTGGCGTGGCCGCTACAAGAGCACGACAAAGCTGGTCGAGACAACGGAAGAGGTGAGCGCAGGCAAAGGGCAGAGAAATTACCAAAGTGGAAAGGAGGGAGGTAGAAACAAGGGAGGGATGTGGGGTCAGAGGAATGAGCGTGACCCAGGGGATAACAGGGACGTGAAAAAGGCCTGTGGAAAGGCGGGGCCCCAGAGTAGCATACGGGACACAAATTACGTAAGAGGAAGAAGGGCCGTGGTGTAGGCGGAGCGCGAGGGCGTGACACATACGTGAGGGCGTGGCGAAGATGGTCCGGCTCGAAGGAGGGGTGACCCAGGCGGAAGGCAGAGGCGGGACCAAGTTAGGGCAGAGGCGGGACCAAGTTAGTGCG